ATAGGAGGAGTCATTTTAATTAATCAATTCTAATAAACATAAAACTAAAAAGAAACAGAAGAAAAAACGATAAAATCCAATGAAAAAGCAAGCCAGTCAAGGAAAAATATCGCGTCCTATCGATTGGCGGGAGGCGGGGTGAGTACGGTAATTGCAGTGGCATTTGCCGCATGCCGCAAGGGAGAATGCCGCGATAGGGGAGAAGTTCCGTTACCCCATGTAAGATAGTCGCGAGTGAAATTGGTCCTTAGAATTGTCTCTTTGTTGATCAACTGGCAGAACTATGCTTTTGCCTGCAGTGTCGTCTCATGAATAGTCCAGCTGCTCTGGGAATGAATAGCATATACGAAAAGCTAACCATAGCATTCGAACACGGCACCCAAGTGCATTTATTAGTGCGTTTTCCATTTACACCACCTCCATGAGTCTGATAACGTGAATATTCTCGTTCTTATAAGCTGGTTACAGTATCGGGACGGGGGCTAAAAGCAATCCTGATATTGGTAGCTATGGGGTTCTCACTGGATTTAATGACGGCTATAAAAAGCATTGTCTTAAACACAAAGGGACAAAAAAATGTGGTTGAGCTTAATAGCAATTTTTGCAGGACATCACTTTATGAAACCTGTTTTCATACTGACGCAATTGTTATAATAGCTTATGTGGCTTGCACGTTCTTGGAAAGATTCATAGGTTTTCGGAGAATTCAGTCGACCTGAGGGATATTCTTCATTCTCACCCGCTCCCATCTCACAATTCGTTATGAAACTTCCTCCTCAGTTATAAGAAGGGTTAGGGTGTTGGTGCAGTTTGCGCTCAAATTCGGCAATGTACTGCATATATGCCTGGGAACGAACTGTTTTCTCTGTTGTATGGCTCTGAACATCGGTGCATCAATGCTCCGAGCACGTCCACTCACTTACCCAAGCAAATTATACTGATTCGATGTGTACTGTTTCCAGAAACCAGAGAAAAAGCTATTGAGTGATGCTTAGGTCACCCCTTGATAAAAAATCAGTTTTGTTCCCATTTTCAGCCCCATGTTTTCCTCTGACCATTTCCTCAGTTCTAGATGGCAGCGTGCAATCCAAATGATCGACGCCTGGTATACGGCGAAAGTAAAGGGAGAAAGTGGCAGAATGCTCACCTAAAATCATGAAATTCTTGACTGTAGTCTCAGATCGTTTATTTTTACTACTCTCNCCCCCCCCCCCCCCCCCCCCCTTCAGACACATAAAATAATCATTCGAGTTCGAATGTCTGAAAAGTGAGTACTGTAGCTGTAGTAGGCTTTAAAAAAGGATGAAGAGTGAGGAATTGCTTGACACGGACCAATACAGCTGCCTGTTTCCCGGAGGATACGTTCGGTCGACTACTTAAATTCCTTTGCCGCAGGTTTTTCGCTTACATTCTCGAGTTGAAGCTGCCATTTTCGAGTAATGTAATATTGTAGAGGACGACATATTGAAATGGAGAAATTCAAATTCAAATAAACAGCGGCACGTCGGCGTCAGTAGTATGAAACAATTTACTACAGTCCCTATCTAAGGGACAGTCTCACGTTTCAGTTTTTCGACAAGGCAGAGGATGGAAGTAATTTTGAATAGAGAAAGCCAATGACTAGAGCTGCTGAAATTACCAAACTGTTAACTCAATTTATGAGTATGTAATTGTTGGCCTCCTCCATAGCTTTTAGATTTTAATTGCTCCCAGTCTGAGTGAGACAAGGTCCTTAATTGGGGGTTGCTCAATCGACTGAATCGTCGGTTGCATCCATTATTTAATTGCATTTCGATGAAATAATTTATTAGAGCTATGTACACGGTTAGCACTTTAGCACTTTAAAAAACAATCAAACTATCACAGATATACGAATCGACCCTAAGAACAAGAGCTAGACACTAATGGTAAGTCTAAAGGTAGATATCTAGGAGAAGTATACAGTTTACTTCGAAGTAAGGGTCTGCTTCGTCTTGTTCAGTGCTGACCCAGCTTTAAACCATTCGATCTGATATTCGTTGAAAGTGTGATTGAGTGAAAGTTCGATCTGCAAACAATGAGATTTAAGTAGAAGTAAACAGAATAAAAAGATGCGTTACCTTGGAACCGTCGGGCTTTTTGATCACTGCTTTCAGCGGCTTGCCTGGAGCGAACTGTTTCAAGCCAACTATTGATACTTGATCGCCAGAATCGATCTTGTCGTAATCGTCAGGATTAGTGAATGTCAATGGAAGCATTCCTTGCTTTTTCAGGTTTGTCTCTGCAATTTCTCAAACATTCTTGCGTTTATCACTGGAATCCCCTCGGTACCATTATCTAACGGGTAAGTGGCACCTGTAGTTTAGCGACAGGTAGTGACAGCGTTCTTTATCCCCCACGCCCCAGATTATTTCTTCATTCATTGGAATCGTAAACAGAAGTTCACCCAAAATGTTTGAAACAAACCATGCATAAAATCTTTAAAGTGAGGGTTCAGAACATAAAACTGTCCTTTGAAGTGAAAGAAAACGGAACGAAGCTAAGAAAGCATGGAATGCGAGCGACCAACTCTTATAAAAGCGTGAATATGAGCACGATAGGAATAAGTGTTGAAGAGTCATGCTATATTCTTGAGAGCGCTTTATCAACTCATTTAGAAGCTCAGATATAAAGGCAAGAATGACTAGAGTCAGAAGTAGTTCTAACTCTGAGCAAATCCGAGGTTGAACCCTGCGTTTACTTGTCTTCATCTATGCTCTCCCACAGAAACTGCCCCATTAGACTGCTAGGAATACGCATACTGCAACTTTGTACGCATACAGATGGATTGCCCACGCTACCATTCCTCCACCACTCGTTTCCTTCTCTTTTCCTATTTTCTTTCTCTTTTTCGAACCTGTGACACCGAAGGACAGCACAGTGGACGCGGTCGGGTCGAAAAACTGCCCAAATAGGACGTACTAGGCCCCTAAAATTGGCTCAACCGAGCAAACACCGTCCCGAAGGCGGACGAGTTCTCACGACGTTGTGGAGGGCGTACAGCTTGGGATACACACGTTGCACGAAGGCAGCTTTCTGTACCAGCTGTACACAACGGCACAGACATGTGGCCAGTTCATCCAAATACCCCTTCCATGCAACTTTCCTCATTATATAACCGTCCAACGCCTAATTTTGCAAATTTACAAAGACCCAAGAATTATATTTCTCCAAATTCGCCGTTTTCCGCGTTTTTTCCATTTTGCACTATTGTGGACTATCGCGTCCATTATTCGTCTAAAACAAGGTACTGTAGGATAATGGTTAGCTGTGCCTTTTAAGCAATTACACTCAATTCATCACTCTGTGAGTGTGACCGAATCGAATGAGATATTCTTAAGGACGTCCTACCGTGAATTCTGGCGAAAGATTTGGTGATGATGGCTCGTCCCCCGAGATGTCGTGGTTCAAGAGCGGCATGTTCACGACTGGATCCTTCGCCATAGTTCTCATCTCCGATAACCACCCACTGCTTTTTGTGGGCTTTATAGTAGCGTGCCGTATCCGGAACAGTGCCATATGTATTGGTGATATGGTTGCGGACCTGAAACTTTTGAACTAAGCCCTTTTTGTTGAATCTCTTCTGAATGTGAGTTGTCGGTTCTCGACTTGGCGCATTCCACGGTGACCTCCTGGGTATATTCGTTCAGGGAGAAGACCAATTTGAATCGACAAGTAAAAGCGAACGTAACAAATTTGGGAGCATGAAGTAAGTGACTGTTGAAGAGTAGTACACTTGCTTCCCGGTTAAAACGAATACTACTTTATTAAAGGCACTGTTCACGAAAAAATGGTTTCGGAGATTTGCACATGGTTTGAATTCGACGCCCCCTCTGATACCATTTGTGCAGGAATGAGGTCGGAAATGGTCTGCATAGGGCACAACAAGGGGCCGGAGAGTAAGCCACGGTCGCCCTCCGCCCCTCGCTAGGCTGACTACGAAATCTAATTGCCGTTCACCACTTTCGCATTGGAGCGAACTTGGTGAAAAATCGAGAAGGT